AAAAAGCATTAAATATAAATATATAGNAATAACCTCCAAACAACGGCCAGTTTTTAGTTTCCGTCAGTGGCCGTTGTTCAGAGGTTTGGCCATATATACATCAATCATATAAATAATAAAAATCTTTCATTTAATACATTTATAAAAAAAATGCAAAGATTCTTGGTTATAGCTTGATTGATTCTTTGACAATTTAAAATTTATTTGGAAGTTATTTGGAATTTGCTGTGTGTAATCTAGCAATAAAATGTTATCGATAATAAGAAAGCAATAAAAGAAATAATAATAATAAACATTTAATCAGTGAAATTTCTTTATCGTTGAACAACCTGGTAATGTGTCAAGTTATAAACTAACACATTCTTCACACTTCACACAATATAAATGATTTAATAATAATAATAATAAACATTTAACGTAATATATCTTTTTTATTGACTTGTTTTCATTTTACACAATTTATACAATTTTTATTGCCCTCAATCATGATTTAATTATTAGTTTTGAGTTGTGATAATACCAAAATTCTTTCCCATTTCGTCTACTTGACATGCAAAAAGCAAATTTTTTGGCAATAAAACTACGAAATATTCGAGAAATAACGTCGTCGTTCGCAAACATATTTGCCACTTTTATGGAATAAAAATTAATAAAATTCAAAACGGGTGAGAAAATATTCACTTCGGTAATTGTTACTTTGCTCGAGAAAATACTGTAATAAAATTTTCTAAAATATTATTTGAATGACGTGACTTCAATCATTGATTAGATAGAATTGTGTGTGCTTTTTCTCTTTTACTCGATTTCTCACTGCATACCAGTCGAATGCGCAATATTGTTTACTAAGGAATGACACCCTCAAAAAAAAGAAAGGAAAGGATAATACATTTGATAGAAACGTGGATCGGATAGAAAACAAACAAAAGAAGATAAAACAAAGCTACTTAAATCGAAGGCAAGAGATAATTTGGAAGTTGGTAGTGCTCTTCGACTCACTCTAATTTCCTGCCAGATGCTGTGACGAGAAGAAGGGAAGCAATTTATCAGTTCTCGACGTCATTTACCTGAACATGTTCATGGAAATGCCTTTTCAACGCCTCTGTTAGCATTTTCTATGCATTTTTTGCATATATTATCTAATCAAAATTATTAAAAATTTATAATATATTCTTAAACTAATTTATAATTTAATAAAATTATAAAATATTTTATAGTTTTGTTAAATTGTAGAAATTTTTTTCTCTTTTTTTTAATAAAGTGGTTAGAGTGTTGAAAAGGTTAAAAAATTCAGTGATAAATTATTAAATTTTCTCTTACAATGTTATAAAAATTTAAAAGAAAAATACTTTATAAAAATAAATTTTTAAAGATAAGAGGATAATCATTAATTTATAATATATAAAATATGTTTCTTGTAGAAATGTCCTTCTTAAATAATTGAAGATTATCAATATAAGCTTATATGATTAGGTAAAAGTAAAACGAAAAAAAAATTGCTTAAATTTAAAAATTTAAATTCTAGTCTGTTGAAGTAAATTAGAAAATGCGTTAAAATTTCTTATAAAGTGAATATCTCGCTTCTCTTATAAACAGTGTTAAAGCTACATACGCTCTGTCTATGGATTGAAAAAAGAAAGAAAAAAAAAAAGTTTAAGAAGCGAAAGAAAGGATCAAGAAACATCCAAATGTCAACCTGGGATTAAAAAATAGTTTCGGAGCTGTTTTATTTGACATTTGATGACAGAAACAGATGATGTGATTACGAGTTGTTTTGGTAAGAAAAACGAGATCAGTCACAAACAGATGATGGACGATGAATGACGACTTGGTGGATGTTTATCGTGCTCAGTTAGTGACCACTGTTACTAGGTACAGTAGCTTTTCCAAAATTATATATTCTCCACTCGATTCTCCTATCTCTGTCTGCTTCTACAGATTCCAGATCGTATTTCATCCTGCATCATGGAAAAATCGCAGCAAGAATACACAATTTCGTTTATAAAATGACATCAGATATACAGTATACATCGTTAAAAATTAAAGAAAATTTTTTACTGTTTTAATTTTATTATGTACAAAATTATGCTAATTAATTTGTACGTTTGACAGCAAATTAAAAAAATATATATATATATATAAATATGTGCATTGTAATGAGTAAGAAATATACCTTCTTTGAAAGTAGAGTAAATAAATTCTTCATTTTATTAAATATAAAATCGAAAAAGTTTTATTGTTTTGCAAGTAAATAAAAATATAGATATTACTTTTATCATATTGCTTATGCAAAGTAGTAAAAATTTCTTGTTATAAATAAGGAAAAAAATTATATTTATATTTAGAATTTTTATGAATATTTTTTTAATCAAAATAAAATTTTTAGATTTGTTGAAATACAAAATAGAAGAATAATCTTTAATTCTAGAAAAAATCATTTTCTTTATAAAGTAATAAAGCATATATAAGATATATATTTTTAAAGCAGATATCCGAAATTCTGAACTTTATCCATTAATAAAAATATCTAGATATAAATATCTGTTAAAATTAACATAATGTGTCAATTCTTATATCAATAATTTAATTTTAATAAAAGATAAAAGCAATCTTTAATTTTTAAGTTAATAAGAACAAATTGTAAGTGTGTTGGAATAAATCAGAAGGAAAAAAATTTAAGTAAAATGCATGTTTCATTGTGTACGATATCAAGAAGAATTTAAAAGATTTAACAAATATTAAATATAGACCTATAATGAACTCGTTTAGTCCTGTAAATCTTATTCGTCAATTAGCAGAGAGGTTCATCATATTTAAATAACTCAGCATAAGAAAAAAAGAATCCGCCATGGTAACTGGAGAGCATCTTATCGCGTGGCCATCCGTTCTAGATTGATTGTTGATATGATCGTTTGAACAACGATCGTTGGAGAAATAAAAATAGGAAGAGGTATCCCTACGTCCGTCAATTTCTATTTCCTAGACCAATCTTCGTTAAGATTGATTGAAGATAATGATTGCCTTAACGACGATTGCTTAAAAATAAGAAATAGAAATAGGAAACTTTTTATCTACAAATTAATGTTATCAAAAAAATTATATGCTCAATAAAAATAGGATCATAAAGTCATTATACTTATTGCATTAATATTAATGAATTAGGTACTGTATACACGATATTATAATATTCGAATTCTAATATATTAACTTAGTGTAATCCCCTTATCTAGGAGGACATATAAAACATTTTAGTAATTACATATAATACAGTAAAAAAAACAAAGAAACATAATCAGATCAAATATTTCAAATTGATATATACGGTTTTCCAAGTCATAAAGTAAAATACTAATAATAAAAAATTAATTATTACCATAAACTGCCAGTATATTTCCTAAAAGTATACATCAAGTTATCTTGTCGAAAATCGCTTTAACAAAATTTATGTAGCTACGAGTAAATAGGTTTTTATAAGCCATTATCATTAGAGTCAATCCAAAATATCTTTCATTAAGCTCATGAATTTCTTTACATTTCAATAATAAGTGAAAAAGTGAACGAACAATTATTTATTGTGACATCGTCACAATGCTGTGATATAATTTTTAATCATAATTTTTTAAATTTATTTTAAAATATATGCTTTATACTTCAAATTAGCAGTGTCTTGTCCCTGTACATTATACTTTTCCTTTAACAATAGAGTCGTGCCGGTCATCTATTAACTGCTTTCATGGGGAAAGAATTGAATTGAAATAACGTGAGTTTTGGTTTGCATAGGAAGCTCATATATAGTTCCATATCTGGTCTTGACTTTCATCTGTCTAACACCGGTCCCGAAATTAAGGAAAGACGGACAGACGAACGGACGGACAACAGTGGGAATTTATAGGTCTACAATTTTTTTTTTTAAATTGCAGCCCAATTACCTTTTTTTTTTATAGAGAAAACAAACATTAAGGTAAAGCAATATTACTTTACCTTTACAAAAAACTCTGTTTAATCTAATTTGTAGTAAGATCGATATTATTTCATAATGAAGATTATAATGGAAAAAATAACTCGCATTTGGTAAGCTGAAAGAGTACCATAGATGAAATTCAGAGATTAATTCCATCCAGATCAAGAGCCAAAATATTTCTGGATTTCATCAGGAGGACATAATCGACCAGTGAATTTCAAAATATTCTTGATCAGTAAGCATTAGAGTTGGATTGAAGAAATGCGCTAGCCACTCATCTTTCTTTTTACATTGGATGTATTTTTTACTATTAATTGTAAAAAAGATATTTCCGAGCGAATTAAGAAAACTAAGTATATTGTTTACAAACTTTCTAAGTGATTTTATTATTTTTTAAAGGAAATCTTTCAATTCTAATATGTATGGAAGATTCCGGGACTGGTTGAGCTAATTTGAAGTAATATGTAACAAACTGTAATTAAATTGATTCTAAATTCTTCCAGGAAATATATCGCACATGTCAATGATGAGTAAAGACATTTTGCCAAGAAAATAACACCAAACAATCGAAAAAATGTTTTTAAATTAATTTACTTTTGTAAACAAGAAAAATAAGTTTTTGTTTACTTAGATCGCTTTCAAAGGCATATACTTCAAGTGAGAGATGAATGCCAGGTGACAATCAAAGGTTACTGTTATGTATTTTGTATTCATTTACAACATCCAATTGATAATTTCCAAGAAACCGCTTATTTTACTTGCGCAGTTTTCTACTCCGACAAAAACTATAATTTTAGATTTAGAAGGATTGGTTTTCAAACTTTCTTCTTTACAATAGTTACAGAATAAATTNTTGAAAAAAGAAAGAAAAAAAAAAGTTTAAGAAGCGAAAGAAAGGATCAAGAAACATCCAAATGTCAACCTGGGATTAAAAAATAGTTTCGGAGCTGTTTTATTTGACATTTGATGACAGAAACAGATGATGTGATTACGAGTTGTTTTGGTAAGAAAAACGAGATCAGTCACAAACAGATGATGGACGATGAATGACGACTTGGTGGATGTTTATCGTGCTCAGTTAGTGACCACTGTTACTAGGTACAGTAGCTTTTCCAAAATTATATATTCTCCACTCGATTCTCCTATCTCTGTCTGCTTCTACAGATTCCAGATCGTATTTCATCCTGCATCATGGAAAAATCGCAGCAAGAATACACAATTTCGTTTATAAAATGACATCAGATATACAGTATACATCGTTAAAAATTAAAGAAAATTTTTTACTGTTTTAATTTTATTATGTACAAAATTATGCTAATTAATTTGTACGTTTGACAGCAAATTAAAAAAATATATATATATATAAATATGTGCATTGTAATGAGTAAGAAATATACCTTCTTTGAAAGTAGAGTAAATAAATTCTTCATTTTATTAAATATAAAATCGAAAAAGTTTTATTGTTTTGCAAGTAAATAAAAATATAGATATTACTTTTATCATATTGCTTATGCAAAGTAGTAAAAATTTCTTGTTATAAATAAGGAAAAAAATTATATTTATATTTAGAATTTTTATGAATATTTTTTTAATCAAAATAAAATTTTTAGATTTGTTGAAATACAAAATAGAAGAATAATCTTTAATTCTAGAAAAAATCATTTTCTTTATAAAGTAATAAAGCATATATAAGATATATATTTTTAAAGCAGATATCCGAAATTCTGAACTTTATCTATTAATAAAAATATCTAGATATAAATATCTGTTAAAATTAACATAATGTGTCAATTCTTATATCAATAATTTAATTTTAATAAAAGATAAAAGCAATCTTTAATTTTTAAGTTAATAAGAACAAATTGTAAGTGTGTTGGAATAAATCAGAAGAAAAAAATTTAAGTAAAATGCATGTTTCATTGTGTACGATATCAAGAAGAATTTAAAAGATTTAACAAATATTAAATATAGACCTATAATGAACTCGTTTAGTCCTGTAAATCTTATTCGTCAATTAGCAGAGAGGTTCATCATATTTAAATAACTCAGCATAAGAAAAAAAGAATCCGCCATGGTAACTGGAGAGCATCTTATCGCGTGGCCATCCGTTCTAGATTGATTGTTGATATGATCGTTTGAACAACGATCGTTGGAGAAATAAAAATAGGAAGAGGTATCCCTACGTCCGTCAATTTCTATTTCCTAGACCAATCTTCGTTAAGATTGATTGAAGATAATGATTGCCTTAACGACGATTGCTTAAAAATAAGAAATAGAAATAGGAAACTTTTTATCTACAAATTAATGTTATCAAAAAAATTATATGCTCAATAAAAATAGGATCATAAAGTCATTATACTTATTGCATTAATATTAATGAATTAGGTACTGTATACACGATATTATAATATTCGAATTCTAATATATTAACTTAGTGTAATCCCCTTATCTAGGAGGACATATAAAACATTTTAGTAATTACATATAATACAGTAAAAAAAACAAAGAAACATAATCAGATCAAATATTTCAAATTGATATATACGGTTTTCCAAGTCATAAAGTAAAATACTAATAATAAAAAATTAATTATTACCATAAACTGCCAGTATATTTCCTAAAAGTATACATCAAGTTATCTTGTCGAAAATCGCTTTAACAAAATTTATGTAGCTACGAGTAAATAGGTTTTTATAAGCCATTATCATTAGAGTCAATCCAAAATATCTTTCATTAAGCTCATGAATTTCTTTACATTTCAATAATAAGTGAAAAAGTGAACGAACAATTATTTATTGTGACATCGTCACAATGCTGTGATATAATTTTTAATCATAATTTTTTAAATTTATTTTAAAATATATGCTTTATACTTCAAATTAGCAGTGTCTTGTCCCTGTACATTATACTTTTCCTTTAACAATAGAGTCGTGCCGGTCATCTATTAACTGCTTTCATGGGGAAAGAATTGAATTGAAATAACGTGAGTTTTGGTTTGCATAGGAAGCTCATATATAGTTCCATATCTGGTCTTGACTTTCATCTGTCTAACACCGGTCCCGAAATTAAGGAAAGACGGACAGACGAACGGACGGACAACAGTGGGAATTTATAGGTCTACAATTTTTTTTTTTAAATTGCAGCCCAATTACCTTTTTTTTTTATAGAGAAAACAAACATTAAGGTAAAGCAATATTACTTTACCTTTACAAAAAACTCTGTTTAATCTAATTTGTAGTAAGATCGATATTATTTCATAATGAAGATTATAATGGAAAAAATAACTCGCATTTGGTAAGCTGAAAGAGTACCATAGATGAAATTCAGAGATTAATTCCATCCAGATCAAGAGCCAAAATATTTCTGGATTTCATCAGGAGGACATAATCGACCAGTGAATTTCAAAATATTCTTGATCAGTAAGCATTAGAGTTGGATTGAAGAAATGCGCTAGCCACTCATCTTTCTTTTTACATTGGATGTATTTTTTACTATTAATTGTAAAAAAGATATTTCCGAGCGAATTAAGAAAACTAAGTATATTGTTTACAAACTTTCTAAGTGATTTTATTATTTTTTAAAGGAAATCTTTCAATTCTAATATGTATGGAAGATTCCGGGACTGGTTGAGCTAATTTGAAGTAATATGTAACAAACTGTAATTAAATTGATTCTAAATTCTTCCAGGAAATATATCGCACATGTCAATGATGAGTAAAGACATTTTGCCAAGAAAATAACACCAAACAATCGAAAAAATGTTTTTAAATTAATTTACTTTTGTAAACAAGAAAAATAAGTTTTTGTTTACTTAGATCGCTTTCAAAGGCATATACTTCAAGTGAGAGATGAATGCCAGGTGACAATCAAAGGTTACTGTTATGTATTTTGTATTCATTTACAACATCCAATTGATAATTTCCAAGAAACCGCTTATTTTACTTGCGCAGTTTTCTACTCCGACGAAAACTATAATTTTAGATTTAGAAGGATTGGTTTTCAAACTTTCTTCTTTACAATAGTTACAGAATAAATTTCTCTTTCATTCAAGATATATTTGCATGTTAGCGAGGACCATAATGTCGTATGAATATATTTATGTTGTATATATGTAAGTGAAAAATTTCAAAGGGAGGAGGTGTACAGTACATTATCTGATGATCGACTAGAAAAAGGAGCTTGAAGAGGGCTCATGTATAAAATAAATAAATATGGGCTCAGAGGATCACTCTGTGAGAGATTTCCCAATCCATTCACCACATAGGTCCATTCACCATAATATATAATATAGTATTTCAATTGTCAGGAATTAGTTCCAAAAAAATAGGATTCTACCATTCCAACTAAAATTGTTTCGATTTAGTAGAAGAGTATTTCAATCTGAAAAAGGAAAGAAATATTTCCGAAACCCAAAACATCGAAGAACTTGCGGAAGCCAAGTTGTTTATTAAAGGATTGATAGGATTTCTGTACATTTTTTATATGCCAAGTATTTCTTCAAGAATAAAGGGAAGTTCAAGATACGACACTTACGAAGGAGAGAGTGGACAGTTAATTGTAGAGTTTTACATTCTTTATCAAACCAGGAATTGTTAAGACCATTACTTTGTCAATAGCAAACTCAAGAATATTTAAATCTTTTTTTTCAAAGGAATTTAAATATTCAAAGGGAAAAAAAATTGTGATAGTTCTAGTATATGATAGAATAGATGAAAGGAAATTTAAGATTATCAGGCTACTTGAAAGATGTTTATTACTTATTTGATCAAATTTAAATTCAAGTATACCTTTATCTTTAGCATAACAATTTGTTGTCTTCTCCAGCTTGTCGATACGTTTAGTAAGCTGTAACAGTTCGTCTCGAAACTGTCGATTATCCTCTTCAATGAATTTACGACCTCCCAAATTGATTTGAGTTGATAATTTAAAAACAAAAAAAAACCCTTGTTTTTTGTGTAGAAATTAATGAAGCAACTTTATATAATCTTATTATCTATTCTCTCAGAATTAAAAACATCAGATATTAAAGAATCCTCGTCGAGGTCGTCCACACTCCATCTTGAATAGCTATACATTGCATTTTGCTTTACAATGGAAAACGTTCTAAGACACTTGAGTTTGGCTCAATTCCGGAACGAAAAAGTAAATTGTGTATTAATTTTAAATTTGTATCCAAATAAAAAACGTGAATATTGGCCAAAATTTTATTATCCTATCGTAACAGAGTTCAATCTTCAAAAAGAATTCATCAATAACTATGAAGTCCGGTGCCCTACACTTTAAAATTATTCAAGCTTAAAAATATTCATCAACAATGAAGAAGTCTAGTAGCCCTTCGATATTATATTAAAATAATTGACAATATAAAATTATAGTGTAAGATAAATGCCATAATTATGTAAATTTTGACATGGTTGTGGTGATAAGAATGGAATCTCAAACCGAATGTTTTTTAATTGTATCAACATGTAATACAAAGAAATCTATCACACGTGTCATCATTCTTACCCTCCAGTTATATATATATAAACCTTAGCCATTCTTGTTACCAAAATTGTTTTGTGTAGAAAAATACGTAAAACATTAAATAAAATGTAAAATATTATTTAAAAATTTCTTACAGATGAAAATAATATTTTAAAAAACTACAATTTAATGATAAAAAGGTGATTATTTGTCGAGTGTCACATGCATATATTACATGATCAATCATCATCATTCACGAGTTTCATAGTAAACAGTATTCAACAATAGAGGACAGACAAACAAATTCAATTATTATGTTACAAAATCAATTTATTTCCGTACAGGAAAATATAAATTAAAGTACAACTTAACGTAATATTTGTATAAAATTATTATTATTATTATAGTAATTCTTTTCATTAACACAAAACAAATTTGAACTTTAATTGTAAGAATAACTGTTACGTTGCTTATAATGAAATTACACTTTTGAAATATATTTAATTATAAATTGCTTTTAATTTAATTGTAAAATATATAAATTTAATTCTTTATCAGGTTAAACATGTCTGCTGGAGGTCAATCTGTGTTAGGGTATCATCTACTCAATGTAGTTCTACATGCTACTGCAGTAACGTTGTTCATGCAGTTATGTAAAGAAGTTTTAGCTTGGAGAAGGGAAGCAACTATTACTGCTGCACTCTTTTTCGCATCTCATCCCATCCATACAGAAGCTGTAAGTATAATCATATTTATCAAGTAATTTTTTCTTTAAAAAGACTCGATTTTTTTAAATTCATTTAAGACGACTGCAAGTTCTATTTCCACATTTTGCAACATGTAAATATTTAGAAAGAAGTGCTTTAGAATTTTTTTGAAGAGAAAAAAAGTGTTTTCTACATTCGTTTGTTATATTTTTTAAACGAAACTCTGAAAATATGTTTTCACTTACGAAATATAAAAAAAAAACTTTGCAATTTTATGATTTAATAAATGTTGGAAAGAATTTTTTTGTATGAAAGAAAAGCTTATGTATAAATATATATATATTTATACATAAGCAAATATAATAATGCATTTTTGAATGTTTACTTTCATTGTTTGTAATTGCTTAGAGACAAAAGTACTTTCCTTTAATGGAAAAGAATTAGTCGAAAAAACTTTCGTTTGATGCAGTCGAAGGTAAAAAAAAATATTATATATTTATTTTGTATTATATTAATGGTGATTTTCTAAAGAATATTTTAGAAATGTCGATAAAAGAGAAGAGATTTTTCAATCGATATTTTCATCTGTAATAAATATAATTTGCATTCCTACTATAATTTAGCTGGATGACCTAAAGATTATATCTACAACTGATATAAATCTTAGAAATTTTTACCTGATTTTAACAGGATATGTGTATTTTTTTCCTCATCATCATATTACCTTCTTTATGGGCATGGTAGATAACATAAACAATGCCATGTGCAAGGAAAGATTTTTAAAAAAATTCCAGCGATAATCATTAACTAAATCAATAAAACAAGATCATAAACAACAAAAATTAAATTATGAATTATTAAATCAGTTACCTCATATATGTATTTTTTAATAAGAAAATACATTGAAATATTCCTTAGAAGTTGTCTTATTTATAAGAATATAAAAAATATAACTTAATTTTGGATTTATTTACTTATATCTGGTGTATTTTTTACGTACGAAGTTAGATAATTATAATAAGCTTTACTCAAAAAAAATTAGATTTTATTAATTGAATAAAAACAACATTTTTTATACGCTTTATTTTTTTGCATTTTTAATTTTGAAAACGGAAAAATTGCCCGAAGCAAATCGGTCGACAAAGATTAAATATTTACTATTTTAATTCTTTGTTTCGATTGTAGAAAACTCGATTGTAATTTAAGCACAAACAAATCTTCTTTATTATATTTATTTATTTTTTATTATTATTATTTATTATTATTGTTATTTTGTTATTTTTTATGTAATTATTTATTTTATTTTAAATGTTAACTTACTAACTAAACTAACTTACCATAACCTAGGACGAACCTAACCAGACGACTAAAGCTAACAAACCCTAATCTAATTTAACCTANAAGAATTGATGAATTTGTTTTAGATTTTCCTGTTTTTTTTTACTTTTATTTTATTCTTTTTATATATATATATATAATGGAAGAGATCGTTTGTTGTCGCCATACTCGATTTTTCTGCCTTTAGCATGAAAGTGTTAAGAAGAAAAGGAAGGTAGCCTGCATGGTTTCGAATACCAGTTAAAAGAAACACGCAATAATCCGATTATAGAAAATCGATTGATTTCAAGCAAAGTGTCTTTGTCGATGAGGCAGGTCATTGCGAAAAGGGTCTACAAATAATGATCCAGATAGTTTAGCTTTCCTTTGTAGAGAATATAACACAGCGATATCGTTTAAGTTTCGAAGTTTTTACTTCACTTTTTACGGTCTATAAAATCCATAACTCCTACAAAAAGTAATAGAAAATATCCGTTTTTTTATATTCTTCTTTTAAGAAAAAAATGTAGATTTCAGCATTTTTTCCAAAGATTTATTTGTACTTTTACATTCTTTCTGAATAACCAACAGCCAACTCGTTTAATTAATATTGGAAGTATATCACTGAGCATTGTGTTGCATAGAATGATAGACACACAGAACTGCACCTTGCTCAATTAGCAGAGTAAGCACATTCTGCACTACAATGTGTTGGTTAATTATTGAGTTAGATGTAACATGTAATGTTATACTGGATAAACTACAAGCAAATGAAATAATCATGGAGAATAATAGAAGAAAAGATAAAATGAAATAAAAAAAAAATTTNCAAAGAATAACTAAACTGAAATTTTTAAATAATTTAATTAAAAATTAAATAATTCAACATTAATTATCAGTGTTAATATAATAATTTTAATAGTTTTTAAGCTATATTTACATTTAAAATATATTATAAGAAACGACCTCTTAGCTTATAGATTGCATTTACGATTATTCTTGTATTCTCCTATGAAATATTCCATGTTTAAATTTTCACTGCAAATTTCATACATATCGCATATCTACGTGTGATACGTATTACTAGATACAACGTTAAAGAACAATTATTTACTTTGCATAGAGCTTAATTGCTATTAAGAACTCAATATAATCCATCTAATAATGGACTAAATGCTTATTAATCACGTAGAGTTAAGTTTGTATGTTTTATTCATGAATTTTTTATTTTCATTAATGCCACTTTCATTATAAATCTTCTTGACATTGTAAATTTTCAATAGACTTATACACTATTGTTTGATGCTTGCTTAAATGATGTAACTTTAATTTTTCCTTGATTAATTTTAAATAAATAACATCGTATAATTAATTAATTATATAATCAAACATATAATTAATATATATTAAGCTATGAGATGATAATTATGGTATATTATCTTTATGATAAGCCATAATTATGATGCCGTTTGATGTATAGACTCGTGTTTCATTTGTCAAGTGAAAATGAATGTTATAAAGCGTTTTTTAAAGTGTAAAAAATATTTCAATTCTAGTTAATTTTACTTTAAAATTCTATTTGAAAATGTCACACGAATCGTCTTATAAAATAAAGTTAAAAACGTCAAAGCTTAATGAACTTAATAATTAAATTAGACAAGTGTAAGAAAGAAACCTTTAAAAGGAAAGATTATAAGTATCGTATTTTAGAAAAAAAAATAACTGATCGGCTTAAAAGATTATCTATCTAAAAATTGGATAAATTACATTAAAGTCGGTTACGATCAAAGAGAAATTTTAACAATTTACAACTTATTAATCAGTCTTAAATATAATTTTCTTCAATGTGTTTAAAAGCATGATAACGAACTATACATTTTAAAAATCTTTTCTATCTAATCAAAAACAGTAGAGTAGATAGATCAGTAAAAGAAGAGGGGGAAAGGAAAAAAATGTCAAAAACCATTCCAAGTCTCCCACCTTTTGAGGAGGAGGGAGGAAGATAATTTAATTCCCTCCACCCGGTGGTTACCTGGCAACGGAACCAGAGGGATTTTCCGGAAGAATGGGATGCTACAGAATAGTTCTCGTTTGTTGTATCGACAGAAACGAAGATGTTGTCTTGTTCGTGACGTCATTGATGAGTATAAAAAAAAGGAAAGTAAACGATTATGGAGAATTAATTGGATGATAAATTATGCAAATGATCTCCAACTTATTACATGTAATTTAAAACTGATTTGCAGATTTTTACATAAGTTAAAATCAATTTAAAAGAATAATAACTTAGTTAATGCAATATTTAGGCTATTTTTTTTAAAAAAAAAACTAAAATTTTTATTAAACTTGCGCAAAATAGTAAGAGTTTTCATTTTATTAAATACTATTCTATGTAAATTTTTAATTATTTTACCATCTTATTCAAACTAATTATTATAAAATACAACTTTATAGTTTTATAAATATAGTAAATGTAAAGATTTTTTTAAAACATTCATTAAAAAGCAAAAAAAATAAAATAAAATAAAATTGAATAATAATAAAAAATGAAGATAGCTTTTACCGTTGGGAGATAAGTAATAATTTTTCAAAATTATATTTTAATAATGGTAAAATATGTAAATCTTATTTTTGCCTTAAACTAAATCGATGGCAATTAAATCTAAGTGGCACATAAGTTTTATATTCACTCGTTAAAAAAAGATATTTGCTCCACCCACTTCTAACCAAATATCATTTGTAATATTTATGTTTGAGATAGTTATAAAGATAAGTTGTAATAGATGACATCTTTAAGTTAAATTACAATATTTATTCATTTGTACAGGTTTCAAGTATTGTTGGAAGAGCTGACGTATTATGCTGTGTTCTTTATTTGACGTCTCTAATAGCTTACGTTCGGTAAGATCAAATACTTTTTTATTAATCATTAAAAAAAAATTAAAATTTTAAGTGAATAACATTTAATTAAATGTCTTCTTCTTTAAACAAATTTAAGAAATCTTCTTTTTAATTAAATAAAATTTTTTTTAAAAAATTAAAAGCTGTTATAATATATTTAAGTACTCGAAATAAATCTTTTTCTGATTTATTTTTGAGAATTTTTTAAATAAAATTTAAATTAAAAATTTGATTTTTTGATAGAAATATTATAATAAAGTTAATTATAATTGTAAAATATCCAATATATGTTTTCCCTTTAGACACGATAGGCTCTTAAACTGTAGTATATTGTATAATGTGTATTTGGATGACATTTCTATGAACCCCTCAACAATTATATTATATTATATTATCATAAACAATATATATATATATTACATATTGTTCGTGATGGATACAAGTGAAGAGAATGTCGTCCGAGTTTAATGTTGTTCAATATATAATATATTATAATAAAACTATTGTAGTAATTAAGAAACTGTCAGACTTAAATTGTTTAAAAATAAAAATTTAAATCGATTATTTTAAAAAATTTATAATGCCAAAAATGGCAAGTGATAACTCCCATAATAAAAATGCTTGAGAAATGTGTAATCTTATAAGGAAAAAAACAACCAAATGTTAGTTTTATTTTACAGTTTACATATACAAAATAATATTTTATATTATAAATATGTATATAAAATGAATATAATCTAAAATTTGTTAATTTATTTATAAATTACCAGCAGATTTAAAGGAGAAATAGTAACAATAATTATTATTTTTCTCAACTCAGACTAATATTTTATAAGATTCAAAAGAATAAACGTTGATTTTAATTTAAAAATATATTCTATATATCTATGCTGTATTTCATAATTTATAATTGAAAGTGATTATGGAATTAAATCTGTCCTGCAATCATTAAAATAGTATAAAATATTAATATCATCAATGAATTATTGCTTGTATCTTAGTATATATACATTTATATCTTATTTTTTAAATAAAATTTAACCATAAAATTTTAATTTAAAATTTTTTTTCTACGTGTTACACATCTGTACTTTTAATATTTCTCATTAAATATTTATAAACTGTATTAAAATTAAGTATAAAAATTAAAATTATGATATATAACTATTAAGATTTCCTCTATTTTTAACGAAACATTAACCTATAAAATTAGAAACGAAAAAAATAAATTTTGATTCATTTATAGTAACATTTCGGTATTGATGATTATCTTTAATATATATATATATTTAAAACTTATTTAAATTTATTTTCACCGCATGTCAAATATCTTCAAACGAATTTACATCTGATGAATTTCCAAAAAGGTACTAGAAGTAAATATGTTGTGTGCACGACAAGTTTTGAATCTGTAGAATAAAAAAAAAGGAATAAAAGATAATGTTTAATAATGAGTGAAGAAAATAAATTTCCGCTTACCGTTTTGATGTGTGGCACGATGCCAAACACTGTTGAAAATACTGAAAAATAGCCGAAAGACTTTAATATATATACATATATTCACACGTCAGTTTATTTTTTTTAATATATATTTTTTTTAATTTGCATTACTAAAAGATACTCTTCCAACTTTACTATTATTACTTTTTTTTAAAAATTCAAAAATTCCAAGAATATTTCAAGTAATAATCATCCATTTTCTTCGTCTCTTCCAAGATTTTAATGAATATATTTTACATCTTTTCATATAATTGATTTTTCTTCGATAAATTTTAATAATGAGTAATGACTTCGTTTCAACTATTTTATTTTAAAAACGAAACAATTTCAAATATTTTTTGTTTTTGATGATAATATATCGTTTCATTTATTTTTCTTCATTTTTTTCCATAAATATTAAGGAAAAATACTTTTGTTTAAAAATTAAAGTTTAATATGTTTCAGATTTCTAAGAAAATGTTAAAAAAAAGTCTGAATACTTTTCGTTTATTTATTAATTATTTATAAATTTTATACATTTTATTTAACTGACAGAAGTACATTTACAGTATTTATATTTCTGAAGAATTTCTGTAGCTTACTTATTCTCTACAAAAAGTTATAAATCTAGTTTATGTATATATTTTTCTTTTTAAATGCTAGAAAGGAATGAGTAGGTATTATTGTTTTCATTAAAATGTATAAAAAATTCTAGTAAAATAGTTAATAGTATTGTTTTATATGCGACAAAGCTCGTTTCTAATTAACTCTTGGATATTAAATCAAAGTACTGTACATGAATTTAGTCTAAAATTTCCTTTTTTTTTTATTTTTTTCTAATTAAAAATTTGTAAAGAATAACTTGAAATTCTATGCTTAAATAAATAAATATATATATATACTTAGTATAGACATCGTTTCCATCCCTCACTTCTGTTATTTAAACGCATTGAGGGTCAAGCTCTCTTGTAATAAGTATAATTATGATCAGCACAAATTCTGAACGTTTGGTGCTTTGCATTAACTGAAAAATTCAACTTATAAAAAATACAAAGTTAAAAAATTGTGTATAAAATGGTTTTAAAATTTAATTATTAATCTACTTATAAAATACATTATATATATNTGTCTTAACGACAATTGGTTAGTGAAATAGAATATAAAATGGCGTATTTTATTTCTAATTCTATTACCAATTGTTTAAAATATATTTAGTTAACTGAATATTTAAAGTATTCTGCAAATTACTAGCTTTATAGGAAGATTTTTTTAAAAATCGAATTTAAACATAAAATAAATATTACTATACAACAAATAATAGTAATTATTTACTAAAATTATTGTACACATTTTATACCTGAAAAATAATTTATTTTGTATTTTTTCTTTTTTTTTATGTATCAAACATATTATTACTTTTTTTTAAAAATTCCATCCTTCTGAAAATCCTGCTCATAGGCTTCCAGCATCTAATTTCTTAAAACTTTTATATTGCATCTCATTATTCATGCAAACTTAATTTATTTTTTTTAAAAAAAGTTTATATATATTTCTGAATATATAATTAGAAAAAGTAATAAATGTGCAGCTTAAAATCACACATGAAAATGGAAAATAACATTAAAACTGCAATTACATTTAAATAATTTACTTAGTTTTAAAAATAAATTTTGTACAACATTAAATTATACCTGATTAATTCAGTAAAGAAAAATTAATTCAATTGTTTTTAGTGTTACATTTATGCGGTTTAGTATGAATGATAGAGTTCAGAAAAGATGCTAATATATTTCATGTAGAGATTATGCAAACGAGATCATTTCTAGTTCAGAGGAATTACGATGAAACATCCAAATGTTCCCACTGCAGAAAGTGAGGTATTAAAACTCTTGACATCCATCATTTCTACCAAATGTGTGCGGGACATTTTACTACCACCTTAATGTCTGGATAGAAAAACTAGGTGGAGTGAGATAGTTAACTTTACTGTCACTTTACGATTATCCAGCAATAGATGGAGAGAGTCCCCCTGGACCAGGGAGGATGAATGGGCGATAGATTTATAGAGGAAGAAGGTGACCGGCACAATTTGAAATTTATATTATACACGTATAAATCTCGGCTCCTGTCATATATGATTCAGTCATCGATCTTCAATAAAACTTTCTTCTCAATAGTTTGCAATTATCGTTTTTACTTTCGTTGAAAAATCCTTAGGTGAATAAAAATTGCATTAGAAGAAAAGATATAAGTATATTGATTCGATAATAAAAATATCAATGTAAATCATTGATAAAATTTTCTTAGAATTCGACGAGAAGCGTTGATCTATATCGAAGGAAGCTAACANAATATAAAACTATATAAAATAATAATGATTTAATTGTAGTAATTATTTAATTAACTGACTTTATAAATAATAAATTCGGCCGATTTATGATTATTTTAATTAAACCAACTTTATGTAGGGTAAATTATTGCAAATAATATAATTCAGGGTAGGTAGCCCTGATTATATTATATAGGAATTTCCGGTCTAGACCCGGAAGTCACCTGATTTCAATTCAAATATTTTCTCCAGAACGGAGTTACATGACTCTGTTGCTATCAGGAAAAGTATGATGTACAGGGGCAAGAAATTACTAATTTGAGATCTAAATCATATATTTTAAATTAAATAAATTAAAAATATGATTAAAAATTGCAGCCATTTTTGTTCGTGCAGACTTACATTATTGCAATGGTGTAACGATTGTTACAGGCTTCGATGCTCGCAACACCATTGTATGTGGCTCTATAAAAATTATTTACAGAGCTTCGTAGAGTTTATATTTTCGTATATGAACATATGGAATATTTTAAAATTATTATATTTTTTGCCAAGATACTAGTAAACAACCGGAATCGGTATTGCAGTACTTGTTTACTACCTAGCTAGATCTGCCACTGTACTAATTTGTATTATTCTATGTGTGTATATACATGTATTGCAGTAATTGTAACTTGTGGATGTACGAGATGGACTCATTATAGCATAACATGCTATATTAATCAATTCACATTTCTTGTAAACTGATTAAAATCTTAAACTTTAGGTAATATTTTTATAAGTTGCAAATAAAATTAGAAGTTATAATCATTTACGGTAGGTGAAATAATAAGAATTCTTAATAATATCATTATTAAGCATTAAACAGAACTAATAATTATTTAATGTTAAGAATATAATTGTGAATTGACTTTGATAGGTAGAAAGTTTTAACATTCAATATAACGAAATTTCTAATGAAAGATCCGTTATAACGATTTAATTACCGAAACAGTGATGAAATATTTCCTTAATTTTAAAATAGGGAAGTGTTTTATATTTACGTAAATTAGAAGCTTTGGGTGGAGTTAACAATCAATGTTTCTCCATTTAGTAATACATAATTCATTTTAATGAATTTCATAATAATATTCGTAAATTTTATGCTATATTTATATTTATCGTAAAATCTTTGGGGTGGAGCGAATACCTC